GAAGAAAAAAGAAAGGATTTGGAATTTTGGAATGTTGAATTACTGGATTAGAAAATATGGATGTCTTAAGCGGAATGAAATTGTAAAATGATCAAATTCACCCTAAAGTATATACAAGGCAATTGCACCTCTAAGGGCCATTTATGTAAATTTACATGTATAACCAGCCACTTGTCGAGCCGCTCGCGACCAAAATGGGACTCGAGATTGGCTCAAGAATGGACTCGATCTGCTCGAGCTCAACTCGAGCTCTAGTCGAGTTTTGACTCGAACGCTCGCGAGCTGCTCGAGTCATTTGCATCCCTAATCCAGACCCAATGACGATTGACTTGGTCGGACCAAATTGAGTGGTGAAGCTAAATATAAATTTTAATGTTAGGATTTTTTGTTCTAATAAATATAATATAATCCAAATAATCAAATCGTTGATAACTTTTATCATTAGATGTTCAATAACATATGATTCATACTTTATTTTATTAATATTTGTGTGAATAAAATATTAGTGTACTATAACTTCTAATAATGTATATTAAATTGTAATCCAACAATGAAGTGTGTTTGGTAAGCACTTTAAGCTAGCTTATAGCACATAAGCTTCCTATATTTAAATACGCTTTATTTGGAAGGACGAACTTTTAAAAAAAACTCGAGTTTATTTCATAAGTTTTATAGGGTAGCATTTCAAATAAGTTTGTTGAAATTTTTATTTCAGCTAACTTTAGTTAATTTTACCAAACACTTTTATTATATGAGCTAGTTTTTCGGCCATAAGTCATAAGCTATCCGACTACTGATAGGGGGTCGACGACTTAATCGCGATGGCGTTGGGGCAAACGAGCGTCGAATCTGGCGGCTATCCGGCGTATGACTCGTGGTTGACGGCGGCAGTGCTATGTGATGGAAATCGTGAAAAAAATACTACATATGATGAAATTACGGTAAAAGTAAGAAAAAAAAAATTAAGGAGAGCATATTTTTTTGTGGAAAAAGAAAGATAGGGAGAGAAAAAAAGAAAAATAAGAAGGAAAAAATGGAATGAAAGAGATGAATGAGATAAAAAGAAAAATTGAATGAAATCGATTCAGTAACTCATCTTGAAAACCGATGTAGGCGAATTTCGCTGCGGAATACTTTGCGTCTTATGCGGCTTCAGCCTCTTTCGGGTGTCATAGGCTTCCAACCCCACCTTCTGGTATTGTTCCGTGGCTCGAGCACAACGTAAGAAGTGTCTCTTACCCACGGAACGTTTGTCTCTAATCCCTCGCGAGTTTAACAAATAACACGCATTTAAGTATAGATAAAAGTAGTAAATATAAAAAGGTATACAAAATATAAAGCAAAATAAAGGAATGCAGTAATTATTATGAGATTACTCTGTTGGGGAGTCGTTTCGTTACTCTGTTGGGGGTCGTTTCGTGTTGGGGTCTTTGTTTGTTTTGGTTTAGTTTTGGAGTGCTTAGGTCTCATAGCTTTGTCTGTCTTTAGTGCTTTGTTGGTGTTTGGTCTATGCCACTTTGATGGTGTGGTTCTCCATTTATGTTTGTAAGGACTAGTGAAACCTCCTATTGTACTTTTTTATGTGATATGAGTTCGTTTGAAAAAAAAATATATATATATAAATAAAATATATAAGTAGTCGGGTCATTGTTTGCCCGTATTTCACTTACATCCGGACTTGGGTCGGGTTGCATCTGCCCGGGTCTACTGCTATCTCTTCCCCATGATTGCGTAGAGCTCCCACCTGCAGCAATTGATAAACCCTAATCCCCAATTATCTATCAATTTTCTCGAAGCAATTGATCTTGGCAGAGTCTCCAAGCAATTAGTTTGGGCTTCCTCTCGTTCTACTGGTATTATTGCCATCTCTATGACTCGATTTGCATGCGTATAAATGGCAGATATACATATACTTGTCATACAGAACTCGTAGCTGTATGCGTATTTCTCCACGGTAATATGGGGGTTTTAGGTTTGGCGTAGGGTAAGTTCTTGTGCATGCGGGGGCTGATGTTTTTGAACGCGTTTAGGGCGCGAATTCTGTACAACTTCAAATATGCCGCTAAAAATTAGGGTTCCTGACGTAATCCTTTTCCGATTTTCTTGCATTATTTATTTTTTTTTTTTCAAACCTCGAGGCGTTCGAACTGTTAGGGAGATTGCAATGCCCTATGATTCCACTGATCAATTGCTGAAATTGGTTCTCTGTTCCTTTTCTTTCCACTTGTTAAATGTGATGTATTAGTGCAAGGGAAGGGGCAGCAACGTGGGTAGTGACAGGCAGAGAGAGGACTAGTTGTGTGAACTGGGAGATGAGTTGATGCTATGAGTAGGCTATCTATCAGGCCTCGGCCCCTTGACATTAACAAGAAGCTCCCAATTGTGAAATCCGTGAAGGATTTTGAAGATGATGACATCCCATCTTCCACACGTAACTCCCAGATACTCCGACTTGCTGCAGAGACTGATAATGAGGTCAGTGTTTATATCGTCTGACAACTCTGAATGTGAATTAGCCCCCTAGGCTGGTCTTTTTGCCTGCATATCTTTTACAGCAAGACATCTTTCTTTACATTGTGTCGAATTTGATGGAACGGCGGTGGAACAACACCAGTCGGTTGGAATGATAGATGGCCATTTAGTTAATCTATTACCTAGTCTTGAGGTTAATATATTTGGTTGACACACTAATATTATTTTGCGAAAATTATGAATGCGCTTATATCCCACCATAGGTAGTCAATGACTCAGTGTACATTTCATTTTTTACTTCATCATGTTATTATGCCAATTTATCTGGATGAAAAGAAAAATACCCGTAGGCTAGGGGTCTTAGATTTAATATATATATATAT